TGTGACTTGTGTTTTTGTCTATATCTAATATGAGAATAAGGAACAGCAGTGGTGCAAGGACTGTACCTTGAGGTACAGAGCTTTTAACTGCGCACGGTCTCGATTTTACTTGATTGACTGTTACTCTTTGTGTTCTGTTCGACAGTAAATTGAGTATCCAGGGTCCTACTTTACCAGTTATACCCATTGACCTCATTTTGTGTGCAATCACTCCATGGTCACATTTGTCGAATGCCTTTGCAAAATCTGTGTATAAGACATCTGCATTATGTTTTTCCTCTAATGCCTCAGCGATTTTGTCATAGTGATCAAGTAGCTGTGAGAGGCATGATCTTCCTGTTCTAAATCCATGTTGGCCTGGATTGTGGAGGTCATTGGTTTCCAGGAATCTAGTGAATCTAGTGAATCTTACCTACACGTGTCTGTATAATATACCAAGAGACTCTCTCTCTCTCTCTCTCTCTCTCCTACATTTCTTAAAATACATATTACAAATCCATATTTACCCATTGTAACATCGAGGTTGCCACCTCGCCTACTCGCCAGACCCCAATAGTACAACCACGCGAGGGACTGTCTCGCAATTGGTTGTCACGTATCATGCGGCTGAGTTCCCGCTCTCAATTGGCTGAATTGGCAACACTGTCAACTGTGGACTCAGGTAGTGGTGACTTGTATATCAGTTATTACTGCAGTGTAACTGCACTTGTTCACTTCACGTTGGACAGTGAGCCTGCACCTCTTGTGACTCCTGTGTGTAATTCTTAATAATAATAATAATAATAATAATAATAATAATAATAATAATAATTATTATTATTATTATTATTATTATTATTATTATTATTATTATTATTATTATTATTATTATTATTATTATTATTATTACAACTTGCCTTTAATACAGTCTTAGGGGAAGTAATTGGTTTTATTATTATATTTTAAAATTATATTTAAATCAAGTATTATTTATACATTAATTCTGATTAGTTATTTTGTCTTAGTACTGTGTCGTTCCTATTTAGATTAGTTTGGTTTCAGATTTTATATTTGAATTAACTTGGTTATTTAACAAAAAAGCTAACTCATATTTATTTTCCAGATTTCAATTTACAAGTACTTCAAAAAGATAGATGGTAATCCTGAGCCTGCAAAACCTGTTGCAGTTGGTGTTGCAGTTGATGCAACAAGAAAAGATGATGTTTCAAATCTAGATGGAGCTGCATCACAGGACTTCACAGAGGAAAAGGAGGCTTCCAAAAAATGATGGATTTTCATCACATAAAAAGCGACGAAAACGGTGGAATGATGATCACATTGTATTTATAATCTTCCGGCCAGTACACGAAGCTTCAAATCCCTTCCCACCAGGCAAGTGCTTCTTTTGTAATGCCACGTACAGTAACGAAAATGTTGTTCCTTCAAAACTTGCACGCTATTTAAAGACGAAGCACCTGGAACATGAAAACAAATCAAAGCAATTTTTGGAGGCAACTTTGGAAGCATACTTGAAGCAACAGTCGACCATTAAAAGTCAAGTTAAGCCCTCTAACATGAAAGCACTCACTCTTGCTTCTCTTAAGTAGACACATCGTTCTTCAGGAAAAAAACATTTACTGAAATTGAAAATGTTGTACTGCCGTGTCTTGAAGTAGCAGCTAACTTTATACAGGGAGAGAAAGATGCAGTGAAGAGAATGAAGCAGATTCCGTTGTCTGATACTACAATAAGTCGTCGATGTGTGATGTTAGTAGATGACCTGAAGGAACAATTTGTTAAAAAATTGCGTCTAGCCACTTCGTTTGGCATTCAACTGGACAAAACCACAGACATAGGAGGAGAAGCACAGCTGATTGTTTACTGTCGGTTTCCAGACTTAGAAGAGAAAACCATTGTTGAACATTATTTGTGCTGCCTCCAACTGGTCGTAGAAACAACAGCACACAACATTTTTCAGAAACCTTATGATTTCATTATTGAGGAGGGCATTGACTGGTCAAAATGCAAGTCTGTTACTACTGATGGTGCAAAAGCTATGGTCGGTGCAATCAGTGACGTTGTAAAGAAAATCGAAGCGGTCTCACCAAATTGTATCGAAATTCACTGCGTGATTCACAGGGAAGCGTTAGTGGCAAAGCGACTGAATGAAACTAGAAATGTTAAGAAGAAAAGTGACTTTGAGCTTCTACTTGATGATGTCAAAATGGTTAATCGTATCTGTGCACATGCAAAAAATCCTAGAATGTTTCGTGAGTTGTGTCAGGATATGGGAGCTAATTTCACAAAACTCCTCCTTCATTCTGAAGTAGGTTGGCTATCTCGGGGTAAGGTTCTTAATAGTGTTTGCATTGAGAGAGATGCTCTGTGTTTTCTTTACTGAGGAAGCAAACCCCATGGCAGTTATATGTCAGGATGTGCTCTGGCTGGCAAAATTGTCTTACATGGCTTCAATCTTCTATCATCCTAACAAGCTAAACATCAGTTTGAAAGGCAAAGATGGGGATATTTTTACAAGTATAGTCAAAATAAATGCATTTAAACTGAAAGTGACAAAATGGAAAAGCAATTTAGAAAAAGAGGTGCTTTTCTGATTTTGAATTATTTGACTCGTGAGAGTGTGGGTGGGAACATGGTATGCAGACAACAGAGCAGACACTGGAGGTACATATGTCACACTTAGTTATCAGACACCTTACTTTAATGCACGAAAAATTTGACTTCTATTTCCCAGACAGTGAGAATGACCAGCTGATCTCCAACATGTGGATACTTATCCCTTCACAGATGAAGGAACTGATCATTGTGATGCTCATTTGGAGCTTCGAACGGATTATTCACAAAAAGAAGTTTTCAAGACATTTACCCATCCCATGGATTTCTGGGTTACCCTGTTTGATATTCCAGAGTACAAGGATCTACCTGAGCAGGCAATAACCATATTTGTACAGATGCCAACATCATATTTGTGTGAACAAGGGTTCTCTAGTTTAGTTTTGGTGAAGACAAAGAAACGTAATGCAATCCTGAACTTGGATCCTCTCATGCGAGTTGCACATGAAAATCGTCTGACACCTCGATTCAACCAAATAGCAGACAAAGTGCAACAGCAGCCAAGCCACTGATTTTTTTAATGGATAATTATTTGTTTTATTTATTGATACCGTACCAAATATAGCAAACATTGTCTGCAATTTGACGTTAGTGAAGGAAACTGCGTCTAAATGGCATGCTTAATGTTATCTTGTGTATTTTGAGCCTCTTAGTTAGAGATGAGGTGTGTAAATATGTAAAAGTTAAATAAAAAATAAAAGAAACTACATTTTTCTGTTTACATAGTCATAGAAATGAGATATGAAACATAGATTTTAAATATTAAAAACGTGAGATTTTTAATGAGACTTTTTCGGGGTGGGGGTGGACAGCTTCTACTTTATCACCACTAGGGGTGGACGACATTAAAATTGTTTGATGTCTACTGATCTAGACCATGCTAACTGTACAAAAACGTTGGAAGTCGTGAGACTTTTACCCAACACCCGACAGCACTCGATGGTCAATTTTAGGGTACATATATTTCATCGAATCACCTAACTGTTGGGGACACATGAGTAACATAAATAAAAAGTTTGAATGGTCCCCAAGCCAATAGGCAACCGAAAACTCATCACCCCTGAAGGATTCGAAGCCAGATAGCCAAGGTTCCATGAACCTCAGCTTATCAAGGAACTGTATGAACTAGACAATACTGTCTATACGAAAATGTTGGAACTCATGATACTTTTACCCAACTCTTGATACCCAGTTCTTGATCTTCTGTTACCGGGTATTACCTTCACTTCATTCTCGGGTACATGTCGTGCAGTAAGAAATTTTTACTACCATTCAAATTCTGCCTTTCACTTTGTTAACAAGAGTTAATGAAACGCATATCGTAGCGTCAAGTCAGGTCAGCATCAAATGATCTTTGGAGAGGTAATTTGTCAACACTCATATTTTAAGTTGTGTAAAACATCAAACCTAATTAACTTTTATACACTGTAGTTATTTAATAAGGAGAGCTAAAATTATTAATTTAGTTCTTAACTATCTTTGATGTAGAACAGACAAACGTCACAAAATTTTCACCAGTCATTATTTCATCATTATAATGTAATAAGAGGAAACCTCATAATTATTTTGTTTATGTTAACAAATAGTAATTAATGGTTTGAGCCTAACAGAAGACAAATCTTCAAAGCTATAAGGTATTATATAATTAATGTACAATAATGTAAGTGGGGAAACATTTCCCACATCCTCCTCCGGCGTGAGGAAGGTGAGGCCATCGTGTGGTGTGAGGAGGACCTCCTCCCGTGTGAGGGAGGTGAGAAGGTCCCCATGTGGTGTGAGGGAGGTGAGAAGGTCCTCATGTGGTGTGAGGGAGGTGAGAAGGTCCCCATGTGGTGTGAGGGAGGTGAGAAGGTCCCCATGTGGTGTGAGGGAGGTGAGAAGGTCCTTATGTGGTGTGAGGGAGGTGAGAAGGTCCTCATGTGGTGTGAGGGAGGTGAGAAGGTCCTCATGTGGTGTGAGGGAGGTGAGAAGGTCCTCATGTGGTGTGAGGGAGGTGAGAAGGTCCTCATGTGGTGTGAGGGAGGTGAGAAGGTCCTCATGTGGTGTGAGGGAGGTGAGAAGGTCCCCATGTGGTGTGAGGGAGGTGAGAAGGTCCTCATGTGGTGTGAGGGAGGTGAGAAGGTCCTCATGTGGTGTGAGGGAGGTGAGAAGGTCCTCATCCCGTGAGTAAGGTGAGGAGGATCTCCTCCCGTGTGAGAGCAGCAAACGAGAGAATGGAACTAGGCCTGGCGGTGCCAAAGGTAGACTCCATATATATAATAAAATGTAAAGCATTGAAACGTCGGTTGTAGGACTTTCTCCACCTTCCTGATAGGTACAAGGCCGGGCTAAAGAACTGGGCTCTCACAACATATAAACATATTTAGACACGCACACACACACTGACCCACCTGATTAACATAGTCAGGAATCTCCTCAACATGCTGGAAGGTCGATCTCCTGGGGTCGATTATGTAAAAGAACGTTCCTAGTCGCTCAAGGACAGACATCTCCCTGACTCTGGTCGACACTCTCCTCTCAGACTCTGGGCGACACTCTCCTCCCTGACTCTGGGCGACACTCTCCTCCCTGACTCTGGTCGACACTCTCCTCCCTGACTCTGGTCGACACTCTCCTCCCTGATCTTAGGGAACGCCTAACATTGCCAGGTGTGGCCACAAGACTGTTCCTGAGTGCAGTATACGAGCACAAGCGTGTCGTAGATTGTCAACACCCAGATAACAATAACAACAGATAACAATAGCTATCTGTGCGTCGTTGTATCAGCTGGTCGTTATCTTCCACAATATTCCTCTGAAATTATCTAATATTTGATGATTTAGAAGCAGTCTTGGACACGGACGGTAAAGAACAAAGTATTCTTATCAATGTATAATATTTGCTGATCGGGGAAGGTGTTCTTAACCACCCTCAACTTTAGTAAGAACTGTACCGTAAACACCACTCAAGTGCATGTTAATATTTATCGTCTACTGATATACAGAGTGCTCTTGTTTGTGGGAAGTTCCCAACAAGTACTTCTTTTATATTGATTATAAATAATTAAGTGGACTGTATTAATATTTCGATACCTGTCGGGTGTTACCACTTCCACAAACTTTGGGGTAGATTTAATAATGTATACTGTATACTCTCAATATTCATGAGCTAATATTCATAGGTAAATATTCATGGGTAAATATTCATGAGTAAATATTCATAGGTAAATATGTTATGGAGTTAGTAGACTAACTACAATTATTAGAGGTTAAATTTAGAGGGCTTAGCTGTCGAGCAGTTTAGCAGGTGCACTCGCCTGATGGTCTCCCGAAAGTCAGTCAAATTTCTAGCCTCATGGTGGCGGTGTCGTAGACATGTGAGAATCACAAGTTGAGGCGGCTGGCTCCCAGTCATTTCTCTCCCACACCTGGATGTTTTGTTTGTCCTGCAACATAACGGCCTGCTAATTCTAAAAGGTAAATATAGCCATAAATCCACTTAAAGAAATAACCACCGACGGAACACAATGTTCCTTGATGTGTGAAAGTAGCAGCAACGTCTGGGAGTCGAGAGATGACGGATGACCCAAATATAATGTGATGCTAATTCGCTTGCCTCCACGGAGATCTGCTCGAGTTGTTGCTGTCGTGAGACTCCATGAGCAAGTGATGCTCCCGTCTCCCTCCCTCTCGGTGAAATCCCGGGAAATAAGTCACACTATTCAATTTTATCCTGTTCACTAACCAGATAGTATTGGCATCGTTTTATGCTCTAATAATACACTTCAAATATCAGCGAACAGTTTTCCAAGGTTCAAATCACTGGATCGAAGTGTTAGTATGTTAAAGCACATATGCGGAATGCGGTATACGTGACGTGACTTTTATTCCAACTGAGGATCAGCTGGTCATGGATGTGGAGAATTCACCTCAGGATGGAGGTATAATTTGTTCAAGTTAAATTAAATCAATTTCCAATCTAAATTACAGCGCAAATAAAGCAGAGTTTAGACTCGGTTTAATTAGATTCAAATAAAGAATTCGTCCCCCTGTGAGGTGAGGCAGCTGACGCAACAGCAGCCATGAATAGTAGGAAACTTTTGGCGTTCCCACACTAGAAATATATGGTGTTAGTAAATTTGATTTCCTAACAATACTTTTATCTTACTGTGCTAGGGGTTAGTATTTGGGGTGTCGGAAATCTCTGACATAATTCTGGGGGAGAGAAAACATGGGTCACAGTTCATTGTTCAGTACTGACATACCTGATGCTTCCCCCCCCCCCCACCCCGAATTTATAAACTTAATTTTTGTTAGTAAGTAGTATGTCGGTACGTACATGACGGATGTCCCGGATTGGTGTAACAGGCGTGAAGACACTAAGTCGTTTGACCCTGTCATCACGGGCACATCTAATTAATAGTTAAAGGGATTAGTTATCAGGTCATTTGAGATCAAGGAAACTACAAAATCTACAGTGAAATCAGTGACTAGTGTCGTTTACATTGTAACTGGTTGAGTTACTAGACACTGACACACCACTGGAGACTCCTAGTGTCACCTCAACCTCAAACAACGAATTGTCTGCACTTATGCAGAATTAAAATATTGCCTAAGTTTGAGTTTGCACTGTCGTGCGGCAGTCCTTGTCGGGTGAGTACTAGTTTCTAATGAGTTGTTTCCTTCTGGAACTTCAGGTAGGTATGATATCTGCGTGACTTCACGTTCCGTTAATTCCAGAAGAACTAATTTTTCTAAAGATTTTAGTGTGGTTGTGCCTCGGCACTGAACCTTTATAGTCCTTAAAATTCCTTGGTGAACTGGGTATACAGAGACAATTTTGCCTATAGACCATTCTGACCTTGACCCGTCGCTGTCTACCAGGACAAGGTTTTATATTGACTTTGTTGTATAGACTTCCTGCTCCGTAATGGTACTCTCTCAGAGCTGTTAGATACTCAGGAGTCTACACGTCGTTCCAGTTACCTATCACTCTGGAAAGATGTTTATAACTCTGAACTAAGACGTTCCCTCTGACTTATGGGGGGTTCTTTGGGTTCCTCGTCTTCTAGGAGACACTAGAGTACAACGAAGGCCCCCCATTTATCAGATGGGATGGACTCAGTAATTCTCGTTGTGAGAAATCATCAGAGAAGTAGGTTAGGAATCGGTTGTTGACTCGAGCCTCTATTTCTGTGACAACGGTTTGGAGTTCTGAAAGGCTAATTTTGTAGCAGTATTAGGCTCTTCACAAACAATGCTTAACAGTGCCTACCTATGTTTATAAAACCCACCGTGCCACGGTGCTCTGGGAGGTATAAACTTCAAGTGGCACTGTCTTTGTATCAAGACTGCACGTACCTCTGAGTGGTTCCATATCTCTCGTAGACATGCCTCTCCTGCCAAAAAGTTGGACCCAATATCCGAAATTATCATCTTGGGGCAGGATCTACGTGCCGCAAACCTGGGAAAGGCTTGTATGAATGCTTCTGCACTCATATCGGATGTCGCTTCTAGATGGACACTGTTATGATCTCATACTCAACGGCAACACTGGAATACATAGCCTGGCCAATAATCAATAGAAGTCTAGTGGTTATAAAAAGGCTAGCAAAAATAATCCAGTTTACTAGGGCACATAACATAGGTCACCGTAAAACAATAAGACGCCGTCTTCTACACAGACGCCGTCTTGTAGAATCGGCTCTTATACACAATGTACCCAACATGAACTTGAGTAGTGGCTTTGTTGCTGTGGACTCTTCCCTTTCGCAGTATATACTCAAATGCTCTAATCTTTCTAACAAACGTGACTTAACATAAGCTTACCCCTTCCATTTATCTTTCTTTCTCTTTCCTTTTCTTTCTCTCTTCTCCCCTTTTTCTGTTTATTGTCTTTTCCTACGCTCCCTTGCTATCCTCTTCTTATTCCTATTACTATCTCCTTCGGTGGTTATAATAGGAGCTGCCTCGTATGGGCCAATAGGCCTTCTGCAGTTCTCATTATTACTACTATCCCCTACACCTTACTTTCCTCCTCAGCTCTCTCTTGCCTATTTATTGCCTGTCTCTACCTCCTCATCACAATCGACTTGAGAATGGTCCAGGACGGACCGAAACGTCGTCGTTCCTTCAACTTCTAGTGTGTGGTCTTCTAGAACTTCTAGTCTGGTCAACAAGCTCTCTTTAGTCCGTTATCCTGCCCTCAGTTAGCTAACTATTCTAGAGCACCCCCAGAGTTCCTACGGCAACCTCTCTCGTTCAACATCTTGTAACCTAGGTATTCGATTACCTAGGTGCTATGACTACAAGGTGCTGTACTTTATAAACTACCTGCAACTCTAGAGAACTCTAGAACACAATTCACTACCACAAACGTATAAGAGAAAAGAAAGGGAAGAAATGGATAATGAAGTAATTAGTGAGGGTTTGGGGTGAGAGAGGTAGAGAGGTGAGAGGAGCGAGGAGGGTCGTCAGTTGAAAGGGAGAGTTTAGAGAGGGGTGGAGGGAGAGGAGAGAGAATACGGAGATGAGTGGAGGTAGAGGTAGAAGTACAAAAGTAGAAATTGCTGCCACCATCCATTCTTTATGGTACATACAAGACAAGGAATGGGACTTGTCTGTATCACAATATTCTCAAAGATGTTTTTAAATGGTCATTATTAGTATGTTTCATCTGTATCATGTATCCTGTAAGAATCTTTAACTCAATAATAACAAAAGAGTACTCTATACTTTGGTTTGCATATTGTATCCAAGAAATTCCAAATCTAGGAACAATTAAAATTAGATTAAAAATAAGAGAATCAAGTATATATTTCTCAGTAAATTCATCCAGTATATTATCAGGATTCAAGCAATCGAACTGAAGGTTCGTTGTGAATATCCAAAGTGAGTCGTCATCCAAGAATTCGAGAACCCTTCAACTGTCTGCCCCTTATCATCACACAACACCTGTAAACACGACTAAGTCACCTTCACATTCACTCACCGAGGACTGAGTCTAAGTTGAATAAAGAAGGGGGGAGGGTCTGCAGTTGGCAAGCAGCGTCAGCCCCCGTCCGGCCGACAGCCTATCTCGGCAGCTGTCCTCTGCTCTGCTGGCTGTTCTCCTATTGCTTATCCTCTCGAATTTCCAGCTCTCCGAGTATATATTGGGAAACCTAGTAGCTAACTCCCCCCACAAGTAGATAGCCCCAGGCTCTCAACCAAATCACTCCTTAAACTTCCGGCTTGGTTGAAGGCTATCAGGCTACAATTATTGAAGGCTATCAGGCTACAATTCAGTTCCTCTCAGACAATGCTAGAGGCAGGACGTACAGGACCTTGTGTGCTGATATTTATCCTACCTCAAGCAAGAAGTACATGTGTGTGTTACTCCAAGACCCTAAGCAAGACCTACACAAAAGGAAAACACACAATACTGGTGAGCAGGGTGGGATATCTTTCAAGCAAAACCTCCCTCGTGTGCCTCTCACGACGCCATAGCAAGCACAAGCCACCTACCACAGCAACACTTGCTTTCATCGATAATCTTACTAGTCCAGGGTCCTACCAGACAACTATTGCTCTAGGTCAACGTCTCCAAGTAAGACAGTTATTTCCAACAAGAACATTATTTCATCCAGGGAGGAGGAAAGGCCAGCTTCACCCAGCCATTTTGAATTTCAAACGTCCAGAGACGCTGCAGCCTACTCGCCCAGATTTTCGTTGGTGCTCCCTAG